CAAAAGGTTTGCCATCACTGAGCTAGGAAATGGCAGGGCCAAGATTTGAACCCAGTCCCTCTAAACCAGCAGTTCTCAACCTGTAGGTCGCCAACCTGTGGGTTGTGACCCCTTTGGGGGTCGAACAACCCTTTCACAGGGGTCGCCTAAGACCATCAGAAAACACATATATAATTACCTATTGTTTTTGCGATTAAACGCTATGCTTTAATTATGTTCAATTTGTAACAATGAAAATACATCCTGCATATCAGATATTTACATTATGATTCATAACAGTAGCAAAATTACAGTTATGAAGTAGCAATGAAAATAATTTTATGGTTGGGGGTCACCACAACATGAGGAACTGTATTAAAGGATCGTGGCATTAGGAAGGTTGAGAACCACTGCTCTAAACCATGACAACATCCTTCACCTAACAACACCAGCGCAGGGCCGCACTGACCTGTGTGCACCTGCTGTGCTGGCTCAGAGCCTGAGGCAGCAGAAGCTCCTCTCCCTCCCCACCCCCCATCCCCTACCCCAGGGAGCGGAGGTGGGCCAGGACCTGAGTGCATATGTAGCTTCATGCCCTCATCTCTGAGCTTCCTGTCAATCATTCTAGGTGCCAGAGGCATCATCTCTAAGGCCCCACACCTCTGAGCATGATGTTCCCAAAGCAGTTTGCAAATCAGGACAGGCCCTTTATAGGTGTTAGAAGTCATTTGCATTTTTATTTTAAAGTCTAAGAGTTGATAAGTATATGCTATAATAACTAGTTTTGCCCTCATTTGGGGAGGGGATGAGCAACATAAACTTCTATACTCCCAAGAAAGTTAAATTGAGTTCTTTCTCAGGTTGGTTGGTTGCATCAGGCACATTCTTGCTCTTCCGTCATGTCTATAATCCTAAACTTTAGTAGTTTAATAGATCCCTATTTAATATAGTAGAAAATATCTACAAGGGTCAGAGAAATGAACAAGTGATGAAAATAAAAGGAATGCATTGTGAATTTACATATTCCTGATGGTAGGGCAATTGGAGTTCCATCTTATCCCAAATAGTAATCACAATTCAGTCTCATTCATGTGTCTTCTCATTCAACAAACATTTATTGAGCCCATAGCCAGATGTTTGCTAAGCATTGACTGAATGCAAGATGTGTGTGACAGGATCCTTGTCCTCCAAGGGCCTACATTCCAGTGGGATGACAGTAGTTGTCATATGGAATTTCACGTGCCATAGCCAGGTACAGTAGGGCACAGAGGAGGGAGTGGCCAGTTCTGCCAGGGTTGGGCTGGGGGTGGTTAGAACAGGTTGCAAAGGGCTGAGGGATGTCCCTTGGAATGCCTCCATGAGGGGAAAACCTTCAGGAAACACGGTTACCCTGCTGTGTGTGTGTAACCTCACCTGAGGATATTTTTCCATTGATTTTTAGAGAGAGGGAAAGAGAAATATTTATGTGAGAGAAACACATCGATCGATTGGTTGCCTCCTACATGAGCCCTGACCAGGGCCCAGGCAGGGGAGGAGCCTGCAACCGAGGTATGTGCCCTTGACCGGAATCAAACCCAGGACCCTTCAGTCCGCAGGCCGACGCTCTATCCACTGAGCCAAACTGGCTAGGGCTTGCCCTGCTTTTTGAACAGGGAATGTGCACAAACTATTGAAGATGTTGATTAAATTGCAGGTGATCCAGCACCAGGATCAGAGGCTGCAGTGAAATTTCCCAGGTGAGATTACCAGCACACTTGTGAGAAGACAGCTCTACCACTGCCCCTGTTAGAATGGAGATGATGGTGAGGAGGAGGAAGAGGAGGATGGGGCTGATGATACCTCGCAGGGTGGTTGTGAGGTTTGAATGAGGTCATGGGTGGAGAGGGTTTAGCTTAGCACAACATCTGGCATGGAGTTAAGAGCTCCAGGGCTTGTCCATGTGCAGTCATACAGAAGTAAACATATTTCAATCTTACGTGCTGCTTGGTAAAGAGCTGTATCCCTGAGCCACCTGAGTGCCTCCCTTGGGCCCTCTAGACCTCCTCACAGCCCAGCAACTGACAGGTTAACACCCAGGCACAGCGGGGGCCTCCAGGACCCTGCGCAGCCCATGGCCAGCATTGATTCTAATGCATGGGCACCCATGCTTTACCAGTGGTTACATACTTTGCAATCACCCTATGTCTTCCTCAAAGCGTGACTCTGAGATACGGATCTGTTTTTCTAGTAACATCTGGCCACACATCACCAGACCTCTCACAGGGTTCCAAACTAACGGCAGCATTTCCCCCCAGAGTAAGTGAAACCACTGCCCCCTTCACTCTTTGAGCCAGAAGCTCAGGGGTCACCCCTCTCTCTGCCTCTCTGTTTTCCTGCTTCTCTACCCTCCCCCCCTCCCACCCAGGGGAAGCCCTGACACAGCCACCCCATCCCGCATCTCCCAGCCTTCTCTCCATCGACATGGTCCAGCTGGGAGGAGACCAGCAATAAATATGATCGAAACGTACAAATTACAGTATCTGTCTTGAGGTACAGGTACATTCCCTTGTCTCTACCTTGTCTCCCATTCAGAGGAGACCTGCCTGTGTCCCCCATTAAATCCTTCAGTGTCCCCCTTTGGCTTCAGGGGAAAATCCCAGCTCCACGGTGGGCTGAGAAGGAACTTGCTGACTGCTCTCTCCCTGCCACCCAGCCTCATCTGCATGGACTCTGCTCGTAACTGCACTGACCAAATGAACCATCCCTCATGCACCTCTTGCTCCACCACCAGGTGCCTTTGCACATTCCTCTTCCTCCCACTCCAAGTGCTCGGTGTTCCCGTCCTGGAACCACAGGCTGGATGGGGCACTGTTCCTGTGGTTGCTGGCTGCCCACTGGGTGGTGCACTCCATGGATGACAGGGCTGTGCCTTTGTCTCTCTGTCCACAGAGATCACACTGTGCTTGACCTACATCGGTAACGAGAGAAATAACTAACATTTATTGAGCACTTACTATGTGCCAACCACTGTTCCAAGGGTTTTGCAAGGATTAACTCATTCAAAATGGCACAACAGTGAAGATACTATTATTATTTCCATTTTTACAGATGGAGAAAATGAGGCACAGAGAGGTTAAATAGCTCATTCCAAGTATTTACCAGGCACAGATAAGGGTGTGGTAGAGCCACATTTAGAACCCAGTTTTCTCAGTTAAAAACCTGTGGTCGGAATGACTCTAGAACTGGCTTCTTTTCTTCACTTAAAATCACCTCGCACTTTGGGGATTTACTTTTTATTGAAGTACTAGAGGCCTGATGCATGAAATTCGTGCAAGGGGCTTGGCCCTCGCAGCCACCAGCGCTATCCTTGACCCTCGCAGCCGCGGCAGCATGCCTGGGCCCTCAGACATCCAGAAGGATGTCCGGAAGGTCGTTGGGCTGTCCGGTCTAATTAGCATATTACGCTTTTATTATTATAGATAACTTCTGTGCTTTAAGGCCCATGCACCTGAAGTACACAGCTGATGAATCTCTCTACACATGCTTCACCATGGACTAACCATCAGCTCAAGACACAGCTATCCCAGCCCTCTAGGACAGGCTAGGGCAGTGGTCGGCAAACTGCGGCTCGCGAGCCACATGTGGCTCGCGAGCCGCAGTTTGCCGACCACTGCTCTAGGGGCTTTCCATAGCCCACAGCCAGTAGCCCCCATGGTCACCACTCTTCTGACCACTCTCACCATAGACCACTTTTGCCCATTTCTGAATTTCAAATACATGAGGTCATACCCTGTGAGACCTGGTGGTCCTTTAAGAAAAACAACAGCTTTCTTGGGATATAATTCATGTACCATAAAATCCACCCTATGAAAATGTATAACCGTTCTTAGTATATTCCCAGGAGGCTGGACACATTTCTATCTTGTTCAATCTTGCCCCTGTCACCTAGAACACACATGCAGCGCCCAGGTGTCTGAGTACCTGCAGATGTGTGAACTGGCCGATGCATGCCTGGGCCTCCATCTTGCTGAGAGAAAGGCGAGAGGTGTGGCGGGAGCATTCTTGTCCTGCCTCTGGGGCTGGGCCCACAGTGGGAGGAGGTGAAAAAGCACAGAGGCGGAGAGATGGCTGCCCCTCCCCCTCCTCATGCTGTGCTTGGTCAGGGGGTTGATTCCACAGCAGCTGTTTATCATGAACAGGGCACTGAGCTGCACCCGCTTGGGGAGTAGAGATGAGAGAGGAGTTTTCCGTTCCTTGGAGAGTCCCAGCTGAACAGGACACAGGACACTGTAATCACGGTATAGGGGTGCACACAGCAGGGAGTGATGAGGTCCGGGAACTTGGTTGCCATTGTGTTGCCTTCCCAGTATCTAGTCCTCCCTAATGTGGTAACAACTTGTTTATTTTTCTTTTAAGAACCACCCATTCGCCCGACGGACGTGGCTCAGTGGTTGAGCATCAACCCATGAACCAGGAGGTCACGGTTGGATTCCTGGTCAGGGCACATGCCCGGGTTGCAGGTTTGATCCCCAATAAGAGGGCATGCAGGAGACAGCCAATGGAGGATTCTCTCACATCATTGACGTTTCTATCTTTCTCTCCCTTCCTCTCTGAAGTCAATAGAAATATATATATATATATATGAAAAAACAATAAGAGGTGCAGGAGACAGCCAATGGAGGATTCTCTCACATCATTGACGTTTCTATCTTTCTCTCCCTTCCTCTCTGAAGTCAATAGTAGAAAAAATATATTTTTTAAAAAATCAATGCTGGAGAGTACCATGCAAAGCAAAGGAGCCTGTAAATCCTGTTATTTCATAGGAATAATAGAGAGAGCTGGGATTATGGAGCTGACAGAAGAGAAGGCTCAAGCAGGGAAAACTTTTATCTCCAATTCTCTGAAGAGCTATCAAGGGTGGAAGGAACGGACTCCAGAGGGCAGACCTGGCCAGTGGGTACAGATTAGAAGAGGGAGGCAGGTTTAGGTCAGCAGAAAGCAGGTGTTTAGCTGCCATGTGAGGCCATGAGCTCCTCATCAGGATGCAGCTGGATGCTTCCCTGTCTGCAGAGCTGTGGAGTAATCCCAGCATGATGGGGGAGGCGGGGCCAGACAGCCTCAGAGGCCCGCCCTGGTGGAGCCCATCTGGCTCAGGGTGGCCCGACATTGGGGGCCGAGGGCTGCTCTATAGAGTCTGAGCCACTCCCTTCCCTTCCTCCCAGAATTGCCAGCACAACACCGAGGGGCCACAGTGCAACAAATGCAAGGCCGGCTTCTTTGGGGATGCCACAAAGGGCACGGCTACAGCCTGCCGGCCCTGCCCTTGCCCGTACATTGATGCCTCCCGCAGGTAGGACCCAGCTCGGGATGGGGCGGGTATGTCTGGGTGAGCGGGCAGTGTAACCAGCTAGGGGCATACTCTGGGCAAAGAGGTGGGAGGCCTGGGTTCAAATCCTAACCTGGCCACTAAGTTGTTCTATGCCCCTTGACCTCTATGGGCCACCTGCCTTCCAGGTGTTGTTATGAGGCTGCAGATAAGAACAGGTGGGAAGAGAGATAACATTATGACTGTGTCTGTGTGAACAGTGGTCATTTCCCCACGTGGGACTGTGAGGCCTGGCCTGGCCCATCTCTGTAGCCTGTCCCGTGTCCTCTCCACTTGATCCCCATAGATTCTCAGATACCTGCTTCCTGGACACAGATGGCCAAGCCACATGTGATGCCTGCGCCCCAGGCTACACAGGCCGCCGCTGTGAGAGGTAAAAGAGGCCGGTGGGGGCTAGGGGAAGCGGGTTGGATGGGGAGGGGGCAGGGAGTGCCACTCACAACCCGCTCTCTCCCCCAGCTGTGCCCCTGGATATACGGGCAACCCCATCCAGCCAGGCGGGAAGTGCAAGCCCACCGGTGAGTATCCTAGCCACCTTCCCCTGGCCTCCCCGCTGGCTGCCCACCAGGCCCCAGTCCTGGAGCCTAGCATAAACCCCATGATCCTTGAGGAGTTGCCCCACTCTGTCCCCCGTCTGCCCAGACTATGTCTATGTCGTTTCTTCCTACCCTACCAACACCCACTTTGTGCCTCCAGGCCAGGAGATTGTACGCTGTGATGAGCGAGGCACCTTGGAGACCTCCAGGGAGGCCTGCCGCTGTAAGGTACGCATGCCTCCCCTGTCGCACCCCAAGGACCTGGGAGAGGGAGAAAGGAGGACGCGTACTCCCCGTAGCTCCTTGGCTGGTGGATGGTGGCCTAGCCAGAGGCTGCTGGGTCTGGCTGGCAGGTTTTTCACCTCATGAGAGGTGGTTGGGGAGTCAGGTGACCCAGGTTCAGGTCCAAGTCCTCTGCTAGTCATTCTTTGTACACCCATTGTATCTGTACTGTATCTTTGCTTTAGCCATACTTTAATTCTCACATGGGCATGGTGATGTAGGTATTAGCATTGCCAATTTACAGGTGAGGAAATAGAAGCTCAGAGGAGGGAAGTCATTTGCGTTAAGAGTGTCACTGGGAAAAAGAACTGAACAGATTTTGGAGTCAAGCACCCCAACCTTAAATCCCAGAGTGGATTAGCAAACCAAGTGACTTTGTGTAGTCATTTTGCATCCCCGAGCCTCCGTTTCCTCATGTGAAGCATGGAGATCACATACCTCTCAAGGTACTTAGAGGAGTTAAATGAGATGATGGTTGAACAGCAACTAGCAAAGTGCATGAACCACTCCATAAACGGTAGCAGTAATTATTGTAACCAACCTGCTATATTTTAAATCTAAATGTATTTGTGAGCCCCCACTAGCAACTGAAGAGAAAAGGGGAAATGATCGGTTGCACAAGCTCCCTTTAAGTGAAATTATTGTTCACGTGGTTTCGACTCTTCATACATGTGCTCTTTCCCTGGCTCCCCCTGGCCTTGGGTGCCCATCTGAATGTGGGCCGACTTGGCCGGAAGCTCCAGGCAGCCTGTCCCGTGGGCCATCCTGCAGCTCCCAGCTCTGTGCTTGCAGAACAACGTGGTGGGGCGTCTCTGCAACGAGTGTATCACCGGTTCTTTCCACCTGAGTGGCCGCAACCCCGAGGGCTGCCTGAAGTGCTTCTGCATGGGCGTCAGTCGCCAGTGCACCAGCTCCTCTTGGAGCCGCGCCCAGGTATCTACTCGAGGCGGGTGGGTGGGCAAACAGGCGGGACCGCCGAGCCCAGGGCTGGGTGGACTCAGCACCAGTCCCAGGCCACAGCTCCACCTTGGCCTCTTCTCTCTCCCAGGTGCATGGGTCCTCCGAAGCACCCAGTCAGTTCAGCCTGACCAACGCAGCGGGCACCCACACCACCAGCATGGGCATCTCATCCCCCTCGCCTGGGGAACTGGTCTTCTCCTCCTTCCACAGCCTCCTATCTGGACCCCACTTCTGGAACCTCCCTTCCTGTTTCCGGGGGGACAAGGTAGGCAGGGGAACGGGAAAAGAAAGGGAATTCCAGGCAGCAAGAACAGCACAGGCAAAGGCTCGGGAGCAGGAGTGTTGCAATGCCTTGGGGGAAGAGTGGAAAAGGTGGTGGGAGCAGTGGGAGGCTGGAGCAGTGGCCGGTCCGACTGGGGGGACCGCAGCTGAGCGCCTGTTCACCCTGTGCCCCAGGTGACCTCCTATGGAGGAGAGCTGCGCTTCACAGTGACCCAACAGCCCCAGCCTGGCTCCCTGCCCCTGCACAGGCAGCCACTGGTGGTACTGCAAGGCAATGGCATCGTCTTGGAGCATCACTCCTCCCGGGAGCCTAGCCCCGGCCAGCCCAGCACCTTCACTGTGCCCTTCCGGGAGGTGAGCAACAGCGTCCCAGGAGCCTTCCGGAGGAGGAGGCAGGCCCCCTGCTTCTCCCACTCGGGTGTCAGTATCCCAGGATGTCAGGAGAACCAGCCCCTCATCATGCTCAATCCATTTGGCTCTGATGAGACTGACTGGGATGAGCACATGACTCAGGTTTGGCCAATGGGAAACTCCCTTCTCCTGGTCTGACTTGTTGAAGATGAAGACATGTCCCAATCTGGTCCATTGCCCGCTGCTGGACTTTCCAGAAAGCGGTGCCCTCTGTCCACTGAGGCAGCCAAGCTGACAAGACATAAGCCCAGAACCTCTAGGGGCCCTTACGGAGAATGAAGCCACCAGCATAGAAGAAAGCAGAGCCAAGAGATGGCATGAGACAGGCTCCTAATGACACAGGATGAGCACCTGGATCCAGCTGTGCCTGAAGCTCCAGAGGCCACGCTCTTCCACACACCATCTCACAGCCCTGTCCACCTTCTAGACATACACAAGGTGACGGGACACCATGTAAAGAATGGGCATCGCAGCACTGCTTATGACTAAAAAAACTGGAAATGCCTAGAGTCTGGCAACCTGACCAATAACTGCATTGCCACTTGTTCATACAATGGACCGCAAAACACAAGTAAAAATGAGTAAGTCTGAACCACGCTGGGTATCAGTGCAGAGGAATCTCTCCACTGAAATGCTGAGTGAAAAGACACAAGTTGCTGAAGGAAAGAAATAGTAAGAAAACTTGCATGTAAAATGGAGAAACCACGCAGAATAAGATTATCTATTGTAGTGAAAGTATCAATAAACGAGTAGGAGACAGAATATCCAAATTCTGGTTGTTTGATTTTTCTGGGGGCTACTTGTGCATTTGTGCTATTATTCTTAATACTTTTTTTCTCCTCTCAACATTTATTCAAACAGAAAAATTCAAAGACTTGTCCTGTGAGCACTCATATCTCTGTTACTTAGCACAATGGACAGATTGCTGTGTTTACTTACCACATACATATCCATTTCCCCACATCCTGGGTACCTTTTGGTATGTTAGAACTATTTTGTAATTAAAAACTTTTTTAAAAAGGGGGAAGAAACGACATAGGGGAAAACTCACACTTTTATTGTTTAAAATAGCGTAGGTCAGAAAACAAATGGCCTCCATATACTTCATGAAGTGCTATATTTAAACATGACTAACTAGTTTTCATAATAATAGCTGAATAGCCATGTGGTGGGCCTGAGAGAGCTGAGACTGAGAAGGGTCTGCCATCTAACTCCCTTATTTTACAGCTGGGGAGCCTGGGTCTCAGGGAGAGGAAGTTGCTCCTCCAAGCTGGGACACTGACTGTGAAGGAGACGGAATCTTGTTCCTGCTTCTCTCCCCCACTATTTGTTTTGGCTGCACCCCAGGCCTAAGCCAAGATCCCAAATGCCCACAAGGCAGCAAAGGATCAGGGCAGCTGAGTTCCTGCAGGGAGGGAACTGCATTCTGGGTGGGAAGGGCGTGGCGCCTTGGCCCAACTGAGCATGTTGGTCATGAACACACACAAGCAATGCCTGTTGGGCAATGGGCTGGGAGGAAACCGCGGCCTATCTGTGTTTAAATACTGGGTAATGTTCTGTTGAAATGCCTGTTACTAATTGGGTGTAGCTACCTGGTGTTAAGATGCCCACTGTCCCACGGAGTCTCTCTTAGAAACTCAGGACCATAGCTTTTCTTTTTCATTCACTGGTATGGTTGGTCCTGGTTTGCTCTCCAGGGTGGTGGGGGTGGGGGGAGTAGAGTGTCCTCAGCTGGAGTTGCAGGCAGGTGGAAAAGGATCTGGGATCAGGGAGCTGGGCCTGGTGCTGGTCTGCTTGCCTGTGTTGCCTTGGATAATTCTTCTCTCTCAGCCTCTCCTTCCATCTGTAAAGTGAGGTGGTTGATAAAATGGTCTCCAAGTTCTCTTCCAGTTCCAACTTTCCTTGACTTTATCATCTATATCAGTGGTTCTCAACCTTCTGGCCCTTTAAATATAGTTCCTCATGTTGTGACCCAACCATAAAATTATTTTCGTTGCTACTTCACAACTGTAATGTTGCTACTGCTATGAATCGTAATGTAAATATCTGATATGCAGGATGGTCTTAGGCGACCCCTGTGAAAGGGTCGTTCGACCGCCAAAGGGATCGCGACCCACAGGTTGAGAACCGCTGATTTAGATTATAAAAGCCCAGTGGCTGGAACACCGGAATGCCGGAACGACCAAAGGACTGGTCACCAGGAGGTGCATGGAGCACCTCTTGGTCCCTCCCCGAGGCCCGCAAGCCACTCACAGCAGTGGGGTGGGGCTCGCGGCTCACGTGGCGTGGCAGGACTCTGGGCTCTTGCCGCTCGAGTGGCAAGGTGGGGCTCATGGCTCGCATGGCGTGGAAGGGTTTGCAACTCATGCAGGACGGTGGCTCGCAGCGGCGAGCTACTTGCGCATGGTGGGTCTGGGGTCCTGCCGGCGTGGCAGGTCTGGGGTCCAGTCTGTGTGGCAGGTCTAGTCTCGTGTGATTTCGCGAGCTGGGCCTCTAGTCATATATAATTTTTTGGGAGTTTCCTGCGGGCAGCAGGAGGCCTGAGGGAAAAATGTTGAGAGGGTGGGCAAATCCCTGGGGGAAGGTGGGCAAATCCCTGAGGGCAGGTGGGCAAATCTCTTGGGTGGACGGGGGGAGGGCAGAGATGACTTCTGTCTTTACCAAGACTAGATTCCTGGCTTGCATCAGAGGCTGGTAGACAGTGGCTGCTCAAATATTTTCTTTCTTGTTGGGGTGGTGCCAGTAATTCATTACACTTGTTATTGGGCATATTTGCCAGGCTGGGATGACATCTTGTACAACTTTATCTGAAGTCCGTTTTTTTTCCAGAAGATGCCTGGAATCACCAGTAGCTAATCTAGAGTAGCTCAAACGGCCCTGACCGGTTTGGCTCAGTGGATAGAGCGTCGGCCTGCGGACTGTAAGGGTCCTAGGTTCGATTCCGGTCAAGGGCATGCACCTTAGCTGCGTGCACATCCCCAGTGGGAGGTGTGCAGGAGGCAGCTGATCGATGTTTCTCTCTCATCGATGTTTCTAACTCTGTATCCCTCTCCCTTCCTCTCTGTGAAAAATCAATAAAATATATTAGAGTAGCTCAAACGTTTGAACTTTCAGCTGGGGAGTAGCCCTCAATCAGTAGGACTGGTGGCTTTAGGAACCAGATATGACCCTTGAAGTGAGAGTTTAGTGCCATCTAGTGTCTAAAGTAAGGATTACAGGATTAATTTCCTTTTTTAAAAAACTATTGTTTTAGAAGAGGAGTACACCCAGTTGCACTGAGACAATCACTATTTAAAAGGCCCATGAGTGTATTTTTATGTGACATGAACACTTTGTAATATGTATACTCTCCTCCTAATTAATTTCTTCTGAAAACATATAATGATTCATTAAGGGTTTTGCCAATAGGAATCTTTTGTTAGTGGACGCTTAGGAGTCTCAAGGGTCTCTCTCCTTCCCATGTCCAGCTAGTTCAGAAGGGCAGGCACTGACCCTTGGAGCAGCTAACGTTGCATGCTTAGACATTAACGTAAATAGTAGCAGCCGCCCATAACTGAGTATCTGTGTTTTATGTCATGCGTCAAGTTGAACACATTTTTTTAAAATATATATTTTTATTGATTTCAGAGAGGAAGGGAGAGGGAGAGAGAGATAGAAACATCAATGATGAGAGAGAATCATTGATTAGCTGCCTCCTGCACTCCCCTTCCTGGGGATTGAGCCCGCAATCCAGTCAAGAGCCCTTGACCGGAATCGAACCTGGGACTCTTCAGTCCGCAGGCCAACGCTCTATCCACTGAGCCAAACCAGCTAGGGCTGAACACATTTTTTATCTCACTTAATCCTGATGATTATCCTAGGGAGTAAGAACAGCTGTGCTGTATCTGATTTGTTGATCAGTCACTGCAGCTAAGAAAGTTCCTATAATTTGTCCTGGGATCACACAGTAAGTGGTAGGACCACGAGTCAGACTCACATGTGTCTGTCTCTAACGACTGTTCTCTGCCCACTAAAACAAACAAACAAACAAACAAACAAACAAAAATAATCACACTCCCTATTCCATAGCAATAACATTGGCATGCCATCATGTCCAAGGATACAACTCTATATACATCTATTGTGTATATAATACTTCTGTCTATATATATAAAAGCCTAAGTGACCAGCCGACTGGCCAGTAGCTATGATGCACACTGACCACCAGGGGGCAGACGCTCAACCCAGGAACTGCCAGCTGCAGTCACTTGGCAGCGGCGGTTCTCGGGTGACGCACCTGGAACCAGAGAGGAGTGAGCTCAATTCTGGGGTGTGCCACCCAAGAACCACCCTCTTGCAATCCGGAACCCCTCGGGGGATGTTGGAGAGCTGGTTTTGGCCCAATCACTGCAGGCCAGGCAGAGGGACCTCATCAGTTCACAAATCCATGCACTGGGTCTCTGGTTTTGTATATAATGGTTAAGAAATAGCATTCTGAAGCAGATCCATGTACTGGGCCTCTAGTTTTGTATATAATGGTTAAGAAATAGCATTCTGAAGCCAGACTATTTGCATTCAAATCCCAGCCATACCACTTTCTGTCTGACATAGGGAAACTACTGAAGTTCCCCGTGCCTGTTTCCCGTGATAAGTGGGGTTGATGCCAATGATAGCACCTACTTCAGAGGGTTGTGTGAAGCTTAAAAGAGAGATGACATCGGAGGTGCTTAGAACAGTGCCATCCCACAGTAAGGTACTCAGTACATATTACTTAAAAAAATTGACTGAAAGGCAGAGAATTGAAAATGTGAAGCTTGCCGAGCTGATGTGGCTCAGTGGTTGAGTGTTGATCTATGAACCAGGAGGTCACGGTTCGATTCCAGATCAGGGCACATGCCCGGGTTGCAGGCTCTATACCCAGTAGGGGGCGTGCAGGAGGCAGTGGATCAATGATTCTCTCTAATCGTTGATGTTTCTATCCCTCTCTTCCTCTCCCTCTCTCTGAAATCAATAAAAAACATCTACAAAGTTAAAAAAGAGAAAGAAAACGTGAGGCTTGTGAGACGAGGCCGCCTCTGGTTGGCCAGCACTATATGGAGACATGCAAGAGAGAGGGAATGAGACTTGCAAAGAGAGACTCGGTCTAGAGCAGTGGTTCT